TGACATGTCTAGCGTGGAAGAGGGTTGGCGGAATCCGCTTTGGTTGCAATGGCTTTTACTTTCCAACTTGCCATTGCTCGCATAGTCCCAGCCCCTGAAAACAAGGGAATTGGAGCAGGGGATGCCCCTCGGATTCATCTTTTACAACTTCATGTTCCCTTTCAGGAAGACTCGAAAGCTGGAATTGAGCCACAATCAAAACCCGGGTAGATGAAGGTTACGATCAGGGCTCTACGTTCGCCGTCGACCAAAGTCCATTCTTTGGCAACGAAAGTAGACCGAGCCCTGCCCGCTCCCCGGCTCAGCCTGACAGCAACTCGAAGCTCAGGCACATCTTCCATTACTTGTCTTCTTGCACATGCCAGTCACATTTCATGGCATCAAAAACATTTCGTGGTGAAACATGCAACTTACCCTCAGTGAAGGCCACACGATAGTCAGCCAAGCACGAGAGTACAGAATAGAACCCAGGCTGTCGCGTGAGCCCAGCAGCGGCCAAAGCTTGAATATGTCACGCACAAATTTCAAGAACGTGTCGTGTGGTGCTTGAATATGACGTCTTGCGGAGCCCTCCATGTGGGCATCTTACTATAAAGCATCTGCATCCCAAAGTATTTGTAGATCAGGTGGTAGATTCGGTAGAGGCCCCCCAGCTAAACGCAACAGCAAGACATAGGCCAAACACAAGCCCACAGAGCTCGCTTCATCCATGGCGGTTACTTGAGGCTCATGTCTGCAGCAAAGATTATCTAAGGTTTCGTACGGTTTCAAGTCATCCGTGTGTACGTAACAACCCAACACAAAACCACCCCCCCCACCCCCCAACCCCAGCCCACCCCCACCGACCAACCGAGAACGCAACCACCCTCCCCCCTCCCCCCGATCCCAACCCCACCCCCCGGATGCCGTGCCCGAGTCCTGAGCGGGTGCAAGACAACAAAGAACCCCCCCCCCCCCTCCCCTCCCCCCTCCCCTCCCCCGCCTTCCGTACCCCTGAAAACGTGTTCCCGTGCCCCTGAAAAAGGTGTGTCGCCTGCATATTCGACGGCGAACGTAGAGCCCTGAGGGGAAGATACTCCCAACAATAATTCGCCGCGGATATCCGCCTTCTTAATTCTTTTCATTTTAATACCGGGTTTTGATTGTGACTCAATTGGGGACTCTTGTTGGTTTTAAAGGGAATCTATCACAACTGGACATTTTTGTATTTTTTCCGGGGTCTTAACCAATGGAAGTTATGGAAGACTCGAATTTCTGGCATTGGGGACGTCCCCCTGTCGGGAAGATCTCAGATGCAAGGCTTTGCGAGGAGGAGCTGAAGGACCTGGCCGAGGATAGCGAAGGCGACTCTCCAGAGGCGCCCAGCTTCGAGCTCTGTCGAGTAAATTTGGCTGTGTTGGTCAAAACCGTTTTGGGATCCCATTTTGGTTGGTAGGTGAATTCCCCACCCATTTTAGGCTTTATGTTAGTGGTTGGATTGACCCATAGCCATTTGAGGGAAGGCGCAAAGACAATGACTCCGATTTTTCTCGGCATGCAACTTGCTGGTCTCAACCCCTGTGGTTTGTGGGAAACTTGGGTTGCCCACCAACTGGAAGACAAAGAGCCGGGTTGCAAAGCCCCCAGAGCTGTCCAGACCAAGCGGCGACGCTCGAACTTCGATGATGAAGAGGACATCCAGAGGTTGACGGTTGCCACGCATGGACCTTGCGTTTTTGACCCGCCTCTTCTGCGGGGCCAAGCCCGGGGATTATATAAATGGGTTTGCGTGTGCTTGAGGATACTTTGCCCTTTCTAGCCAGGCCAGGACACCCAAAGGGACACCACCATCTCTTGGCCGTCCAATTTCAAGTGGAAGCCAAGAACATCTTCGGGTTGAGATGCGGAGGACACCCTGGCAGAGTTGAACCAGATGGCAGCGGCCGAAGAAGCAGAGGCGGAAGTTGCCGAAAGGTGGTTTGGTGTGAATTGCTTCCCTGCAAATTCACCTTTGGAACGCAAAGAACCGTAGAGGAATCTCCTTTCCCCGGTTGGAATCTCCTTTCCCCGGTTGGAATCTCCTTTTCCTGGTTGTCTTTTCTTTGGGTTCCTTAAATTGCAGAGTATGTTTGGTTCAGTTGTCAGAGTATGCAACCTCTGAAAGGAGACCTGGACTTTTACCTGGTGATTCGTTTTCTGATTTCCGGAGAAAACAAATCCCTTCACTGCACCTTGGCTCTGTCCAGATCGGGCGCCTGCAGCGATTGAGCGACTTTGAGGAGCAGCTGGGTATGCCGAGGAGCGCCCAAATTCTGTGTCTCATGTTGCAAGATGGTTTGCTCACAGGTGTCCTTTTTGGTTGGTTTGTTTAAAAAACAGAGGACCCTGGTTTACCTGGTGGTTCTTATCTACCAGGGCCATCTATTTTTCAAAGAAGGACACCTATAGGCCTGCTCCCTTTCGAACAAGAAACATCTAGACGCATGTTGCCGGTAGCAGCGTCTGCTTTCGTAAGCCTGGTGAAGAAGACTTTTGCTGAAGCTGCTGTCGCGCCCCGCGCGAGGATTGATATGGAGGAGGATCAAGTCACGCTTGGAAGGCCGCTTGGTTTGAGCTTTGTATTTTGTTGACTTCTCTTGTCTGCCACGAAGGGGTACATCCATTTGAGGCTTTGATCAAGATGTCCTCTATGGTCCCTGTCTTAGCGGGACTCTCAAGCATTTCAACCACAAAAACAGTGAGGGGGGGGTGGGGAATCCTCACGCCAAAGTCGACATGTCGGATATGCAGAAGCGTCGGCCAGCGCAATTTCGCATGTCCATCACGTGCAAGCCCGGTAGGCCGAATGAGGAGACGGAGGCTCTGTGCACGGTACAGGCACGGGCCACGCCATGGCAAAACTTGTATATTGCTTACATCATATGGTTACACATAGGTTTCACATGGGTACCATATTGGCTGCATATTCCAGGAAAGTGTCCTGGTCAAAGCAGGCGCCCAGCCAGGTTCAGTGGGACCATGGGCGCCTGCTGCGTGCCGAGCCGCACCCAGCGTTTCGGCCTCAGACGCGAGGCGACGTGTTCACAGGGATCATAAAGCCTAAAGTGTCTGGCCGTTTTGGCGGGTTACTCCACAAATTAACATGGAACCCAAAAGGGGGGTCCATTTCCCCAAGGAGAAAACCTCTAGACAGTTTTTTTTTTGTTTGTGATTTTGACTCCAGGTTAACCTGCACGGGAGACAATTAGACAAAGGAATCCATTTGTGGGCTGGTTAAGATGGACAACGGGACTCGTTGGGTGTGCTAGTTGTGATTTGGGTGTTTCCCTTTCTATGTTCACTGCTGGGGCAGTTTCCCTTCGGTGTGGGCAGCCCAAACTATTGAGCCCTTTGGCCTTATTTGGGCTCCATCCCCCCAGGCCCAAACTCCAAAAATCAGGTGCTCAAGCTTTTTCTCAGCGCCCGACACGGGGCCCGACACGGGCCAAGCGCCGAAACGGGGGGCCCCGGCGAGCGCGGGTTTTTTCCAGGTTGCGCTTGGACCGGGAGGCCCAGGAGGCGGTGGCGGCGGAGGACCTGGGCCGCCTGCTCGGCGCCCCAAGGCCTTGGTCTGACGCGGCCGGGTTTGGGGCGGTTTGCGGCACCTGGAGCCCTGGTGGCCGGGGCTTCTTCGGCCATGACTCACAAGAGGCGCCCAGCGGCCCGGGGGTCCCCCCAAAAGTGGTGATTCTCAGCGACTTTCCCTGGTTACCTTTACCTGAGTATTGAGCATGCCACACACTTGTGGCCATTGAGACCCCATTGAGACCCATGCCTTGGTTCAGGCTGGTCATGGACCCTTCAATGGACATTTCATACTGTGGATGGACGAACTCCATTCCATTGCGCCAAACTAATCTTTTAACTGGCGTGAAGTCGACTTCGTCCATCCTCAGAGAAGGGTCTCAACAATTACACATGAATGGGAACTCAGCATTCCTAAACCCATGGTTGACTTCAGGGAATCAATAGCATGGCCCGTAGGAGTTTTCACCATGGCACACCATTGGGCTTTGAGCCAACTCGGCTGAGTTGCGTGCCGGATTTGCGCACTCGCCTAGTTGGCCTAGCTGGGTGTAAATAGCAGACATAAATTTACACACGAGTTTGTTTTAAGTTGGAAGGAGAGTCCAACAAAACGGGATATGTGATTGTGATTTTTGCCAGACCCTCTTTCTACCACCCAGCTAGTTGGTGCGCGAGGCGCCTCGGAAGCGAGACTCTAGACAAAATGGGCAGAAGGTCTCACCGAAAGCAAAAAGAAAGCGACCCCGAGAAGCAAAACGCTTCCTTATGGTGTTTTGGAGGGATCCTCACAAGCCGCATGGTGCAAAGGTTCGGACCTCCCAAAAGCAATTCTTCGAACCGCCGTGCCCCGTGCTTGCATTTCTTCCGCTGAAGGCTGGTCTTTGTCTGGGATCGCACAGGAGCTTGTGGGAGAGGAGTTCTTGGACAGAATTGGATCGCCGAGACCCTGGGCTAATCTAGCAGGTGGTTCTGCAGCCCCCTCAAGTTGGGATTGCAGTGAAGGTCTTCAGAAACCTTTGATACATTTTGATACGCATCTTGGCAAATCCCAAGAGGTCAACAGGTTTTGGGACCCAGCTCAATCGAGAATTCGCTGCGAATCAGGATGAGTGTTTGACAGGTGCGTCTCCGTATTGGTGTCGTGAGAACCCCAACACACGGGCGGTTTGTCTGAGGTTTCCCTCTAAACCACCCCAAAAAAGGAACCCTATAAGAAGAGACACCCACATGTCGCCTAGACATACCTAGACCGCCCTGCTAGGAGCTCAGCCACAAGATCTGTGAGGGCTTGCCCGCCCGTCTGTCGCGCCTGTGGGCGACTGCCGCTGGCAAAGGGCGAAGCTGCCGTGCGCCGTTGGCTCACTGCAGCCACTGGAGCCGCTTTCTCTCACTTCGATTTCACTTCTATCAAGTGACGCATGAGGAACGGCCGGGCGGGGGGGTCGTGCATGCATTGGAGCTGAATTCGGGGGATGTGCACGCTAGCTTTGGGCTGCGATGCCTCTAGCGCGGGAGCCCAGGATGATTAGGGGGTTTCCATTTACAATACAAGAAGAAACATTTGGGGGACACCAGGTTCATGACCACCTTTCGCATCTCAAGGTTCTCATGTCTGGCTCATCGCAAAGGTCACTCGGGCAGCAGCGTGTGGCGCCGCCTCTTTAGAGAAAGCGCCACGTAGCGAAGCAAAAGAGTCGTTTGCATCTTAGGCGCTTGTTGCGCGGATCCGGAGTTGCCGGATCGCCCAGAGCATTGCTGCTCTAGGTCCCCCAGCCAGGTGCCCTTCTCACCTCTTTTTTGGTTGGGAGGATTCCCCTACTAGAATAGACTACAGAGAAAAGTTGGTACCCTGCGATCCCCCCCACTCAACAACCTAGTGCTTCATTCCCGCAGGTGCCGATGCGCGAGCTGATGGACTTGGCCCAGGCCGCCAGTTGCAGTTGGCAGGCGAGATGAAAAAGTCGGGTGCCGCGCGAGCGAAAGCGAGCGGAGCTTGGAGATGCTTTTCTTTGGCGCTCAAAGCGACTTGAGCCATGAACAGGTGTTTGCTGTGGATGAACCAAATCCGTTTCACCACCTGTTGGTGAACCCCCGAAAGCTTGGGGGATCAGCCATCCAGTTGCTGCAGGATTTGGTCCGTTCATAGTATTGCCATTCATCGCAAAGCCCAGCTTTGCCTCATTGGCCCCACTTGGCTCGACGAATCTCGAGGGCGAACAGAGCCTTTGAAGCCGGCAGGAACTCGGCCCGGCCAGATCTGATGTGTCACGAGTTTGCTTGCCATAAATTCCAAATCAAGCTGGACGTTGCCTTCATTCTTGAAACACCCGGAAGTCTTCCTTCCCCCGGGCACCAGCCTTCTTCGCGCGTTCGGCGCATAGACCGCTTTTGTGTCCGGGCATGGCAGAATCTTGAGCCAGTGATTCACCCGAATCGCGCAAACGTCTAGCTCGCCAAGTCTGAAAAACGCTTTCCGCGGCGGACGCTGCCCCATGGGATGCGGGTAATCTTCCTGGACATCGATGGGGTGCTGGTTACTCGCCGTCCGTGTGTCATGGAAGAGCGGCTCGACCAGAAATCTTCGCTCCGAATTCAAAAACAACCGATGAACAAGCGTTTGGGTAGGAAATCAGTTTGGTTTTGCGGCCGGAGCCGGCCAAGAGGCCCAGTGGTTCGCAACGCTGTAAACCATTCAAAGTAAGGGTCACCATAGCCACCGGGCCAGATCTCGGCCCGCCGTTCGCCTGGCTGTGAAGTTGTTCCGGTTGAAGAGCTTCATTGGCCTACAAAACCAAAGGTTGGTCCTCACCTATTGATCATGCTAGTCATTGGCTTTGCATGCCAGTAGCAAACCTGCAAGGACTGTCCCCTAGCGGCAACAGAAGGTTTACCACGCTTTTTTGCATTTCATTTCTTTTTCTCGATCACGCAATCTCAGGAGGCTTCTGCAGAACTTGGTTCGCGTGCCGGGCTCAGTCAAAAAAGACGCAGGCAGCGTGATGTGTTTTGAGCGACCAAGGTGGTCAGGGAAACTGGAGCAAAGATTGTCCTCTCCAGCGACTGGCGCACCTCTGCTGAAGCTTTTTCGAGTTTTCAGAGCGCGCTGGATGAGTCGCTTGAGTCCAAACTGATTCAAACGCAGCGACATTCAGTATCCATCAGCTGCTCCTCTTCCCCTCCTGTTTTGAGCGGGTCTTGCGGACCGCACAGGCCGGCACCCGGAGGCGCGGGCAGAGGCGCAGCACACGCTGAACAGCTTGGGCCTGGAGCTGATCGGGTGCACTCCCTGCCCGGGAGCCGAGACCCGACGCGAGCCGATGGGTCCGACTCGACGGGTCCGACGGGTCTGGTTTGGTGCGTTCCCGGTTAAAAAAAGTGGGAGACTCCTGGCAGGTGTTTTTTTCTTAGTTAGGGAGCTTTGGTGGACATCATCATTTGGGGATGTGTGTCCACCAACCGTTGTTGAGGGGGTTCCCCATTCAAGTTCATTGCCAGGTGATGACAGGTGTCTTTTGCTTGCTTTGACTTGAGAATAAAAGCACAAAAACATGGCCCTTTAGTTCTGGACCCCTCATGTCGCGCCCTTTCTTCATTCGAGCAGTGCCAAAAGTGGTTCTGCTACCTTTCACGGGGTTTAAATTAGGGGCTAGATAACCTTTTGTAGCCATGTTTGTAGCACACAAGTCAATGGGTTTGGGCGCTGTTCATTTAGCCGCAAAGATTTGTTTGGCATCAGACAATGCGTGCAGTTCTGTCCTATATACTTACAGACACATTGGCATGTCTGATTTGTTGCTGAACAAGACGATCAGCATGTCGTTGCGTTCGAGTTTGAAGGGTCCCAACTGCATTCCAATGCTTTGTGCTGGGCAACGACGGCCAATCGATATGCTGGTTTTGAAGCGAGGCACTGCTTTTTGGCTGGGGTTCATATTGGATTTTCTGCACAAAGTGTCATTTTTTATGTGCTCACTGGGGCGTCGGCCAATCGGCAAGGCAAGAGCCCGTACTTGGCACAGAGACCTACGGAGATCCTGGAATGGAAAAGGGACTACATGAGGACTGGTCAGTGCATCCTTTCCGCGTAGGCCGAGCTGCAGTGATGAGCTTCATCTATTTCTCTGGGGTAAAAGGAACTCACTGAAGATCCCTTAGGAAATCTTTCTTCTAATGATTCGGTTTGACTTGGCTGCTCCAGGAATCCGGGAGCTGAGAAGTGGGAGAACTGGGTGTGGGCGCTCAGTCAGCTCAGTGTGGGCGTTTGGTGGCCTTGCGGCCTTCGCCAGCGCTTCGGTGAACATGGGCCCAGTTTGTTGCTTTCTTTATGTGAAGCCAGCAAGAGACAGGGAGAGAGAGAGAGATGGCGGGAGAGAGAGAGGAAGAGGAAGAGGAAGAGGAAGAGGACGAGGAAGAGGAAGAGGAAGAGGAAGAGGAAGAGGAAGAGGAAGAGATGCCCTGTTCAATCCCTTTTTGTGGCTTTCAAGGGGAAAGACAACAGACCCCCCAGCAATGTTTGGTGGCCTCGTGGCAAAATCAGATCGCCATTGACGACCGGGAGCTGCTGTCGGAGCAGAACGGCCGCTTCCTGCGCGGGCACTTTGTGGCTCGGTGATGGGTGGTTGCGTCCAAGCGGGTGCTGGGGTTTGGGGGGTGGGGTTGCTGGTGTTTGGGGATTGGGGGATTGGGGGATTGGGGGATGGGTTTGGGGGGTGGGGGATGGTGGGGTTTGGGGGGAAGTTACCCCTGATGGCTAAATATGTTTGCAAGAGGGCCGATGCTTCACACCGGAACAAGCGTGGAGCCGCCTTTGGGATCAGAGAAAAACAAATCCAGGGCCTGGTAAAGACAGTGACGCAATATTAATATAGAGACTATCAGCATGGAAGGTCCTACTGCATCTACACAACTTGGAGTGAGGGTTACGCCTAGGTTCAGACACACCCCTTGCGGGGTCTCACACCTGAAGCAGCGGACGACGCTCGGCGAAAAACCAGGCGTTGCTGTTTTTGAGGCGACCCTTTCCTCAGCTTCCCTCTAATTGGTGGTTTGGAGCCCGGTAGTTTGGGGGTTAAGGGTTACCAGGACGCCCACCCCCCCAAACAAAAAGGAGGGGGGGCGTGGGGGGAAGGGTGTTCTTTTTTGCCTAGCCCTGGCCCAGGGCTAACCCTGGCAGGTGGTTGGTTGGTTGCTTGCTTGCTTGGTTGGTTGGTTGGTTGGCTGGCTGGTTGGCGGTTCGGTGGGACAAAGGTTTGGAATGGGTTCAGGGTAGGTTTAAGGTAGGTCTGGGGAGGGTAGGTTCAGGCCCGGTATCTTTTTCACATCCTCAGCATCGTTTTCAACATCCTCAGCATCACCAGGCTTTGGTTTAGGCTGGGTTTAGGGTGGGTTCCAGGTTGGCTCAGGGTTGGCTCTGGGGGTGGGTTTCAAACCTATTGAGCAAATTTGGGGGTGGCTGTGCTCGCGGCAGATGGTTTGGCCATGGTTGTGTTTAAGCCTTCTTCGGTGGTTTGACCCCCCACCTACCTTAAGCCACCCTAAGCCTGCTTAAGCACAACCATGACCGAAGCCAATTTTAAACCCACCAAACCCACCCGAGACCAACCCCAAGAAGACCAGCACCAAACCATCTGCCGCGAGCACAGCCACCCCTCAATAGGTTTGAAACCCACCCCGGAGCCAACCCCCCACCCTAAACCCAGCCTAAACCAAAGCCTGGTGATGCTGAGGATGTTGAAAGCGATGCTGAGGATGTGAAAACGATGCCGGGCCTGAACCTAAACGGACTACCCCAGACCTACCTTAAATTTGTGTCTCCTTTCGTGCACGCCAGGCTGCGCCAGGGTTAGGCTAATGCCAGGGCTATGCAAAAAAAGAACCTCAGCAGGCAGCCGTTCCGAGGCTTGCATCGCCATCCTGAAGCAGGACTCCAGCAAGGAGACTGCAGGCCTGGCAAAAAGAAAGGGTGGCACTTCAGGTTCTCAGGGACTTTTTGGGCCACTTACAAATCTCCAAACAATTGAGAATCCCCAGGAGCCCTGACTTAAGCGATTTGTGCGTGAGTTGTGGCAGAAAGATCCCATGGAAACTGCTGGCTGCGGCTCAAATTCTAAGGTCCGGATTAGAGGTATCCAGACTCCCTATCCAGACCACGACGCAGGTGATCCAGACCGATTTAGACGTTCTGATCACCGCGGAACGATCCATACCCATTTTTTGGAGCCGCAGCCTGCTCTGAACACGAGATCGTCAACCGCGGTAATGCTTCATCGCTTCGCCGCTTTGAACACGAGTCGTCCATGGAAACTTCACCATCGCTCACTCGTATTTTTTTTCCGGTAGACATCGCCTCTTGGGCCCATTTTAAAGGACCTGGGGTGTTTGAAAGGGAACCATCGGGAGTCCCGAGTCGGGCCAGGTGCGACTCCGGGGGTCCCGCGAAGCAGCTCCTTCGAGGCGCTTTCTTTCGGTGCCGAAAGAAGGGGCCGAATCGATCCCCCCGAAATCCTCGGATCGGCCGCAGAAAAAGGGGTGCTCGGACTCTTGAGTTTTTCTCAAGACCTTGGAGTCCAAGTTCAGTTGGCCTAGCCCTTTTTTGCTCTTGGCCCGGCGAGAGGCCAACGTCATCGTGACGCGGCCGGCAACCGGCGGGGATGAGGCAAGCAACTGAGAAACTGTTGCCATAGTGGCAAGCTGGTGGCCCCGGTTGCCAGACTTGGTTTTTGGCTTCTCTTCATTTTCCGTTGAAACCACTTGGGCACAGCCATCAAAAGCACTCAATTGTTTTCACCAATTGTCACCAATGTTTCTTCAGTGTCCGCTTTAATCACAAGCGCGGCCTGCTGATTTTCCAACCGACACCAGGCAAACGCAACCGGCCGTTTAAAGTTGCCGTTGGATCGACTCCCGCAGGATCAGCTGGCGCTGAGGACGATCCCCAGGGCATCCTGGCGAGATGTGCCCGGCATTGTGGGGCTAACCTGTGTGTTTTTTGTTTGTTTGTTTGTTTGTTTGTTTGTTTGTGTTTTTTGATTGTTTGTTTTGTTTGTTTGATTGTTTTGTTTGTTTGTTTGTTTGTTTGTTTGTTTGTTTGTTTGTTTGTTTGTTTGTTTGTTTGTTTGTCTATGTAATGAAATGTAATGTAATGGCATGGAATGGAATGCAATGGAATTTAATGTAGTATCATGTAGTGTACTGTATTGTGGTGTATGTAGTGTACAATAATGTAATGTAATGTAATGTAATGTAATGTAATGTAATGTAATGTATGTAATGTATGAAATGTATGTAATGTATGTAATGTATGTAATGTATGTAATGGATGTAATGATTGTAATGTATGTAATGTATTTAGTGCATGTCGTGTGTGTAATGTATGTAATGCATGCATGCATGCATGCATGTATGTAATGTAATGTAATGTAATGTAATGTAATGTAATGTAATGTAATGTAATGTAATGTAATGTAATGTAATGTAATGTAATGTAATGTAATGTAATGTAATGTATGTATGTATGTAATGTATGTATGTATGTATGTATGTATGTATGTATGTATGTATGTATGTATGTATGTATGTATGTATGTATGTATGTATGTATGTATGTATGTATGTATGTATGTATGTATGTATGTATGTATGTATGTATGTATGTATGTATGTATGTATGTATGTATGTATGTATGTATGTATGTATGTATGTATGTATGTATGTATGTATGTATGTATGTATGTATGTATGTATGTATGTATGTATGTATGTATGTATGTATGTATGTATGTATGTATGTATGTATGTATGTATGTATGTATGTATGTATGTATGTATGTATGTATGTATGTATGTATGTATGTATGTATGTATGTATGTATGTATGTATGTATGTATGTATGTATGTATGTATGTATGTATGTATGTATGTATGTATGTATGTATGTATGTATGTATGTATGTATGTATGTATGTATGTATGTATGTATGTATGTATGTATGTATGTATGTATGTATGTATGTATGTATGTATGTATGTATGTATGTATGTATGTATGTATGTATGTATGTATGTATGTATGTATGTATGTATGTATGTATGTATGTATGTATGTATGTATGTATGTATGTATGTATGTATGTATGTATGTATGTATGTATGTATGTATGTATGTATGTATGTATGTATGTATGTATGTATGTATGTATGTATGTATGTATGTATGTATGTATGTATGTATGTATGTATGTATGTATGTATGTATGTATGTATGTATGTATGTATGTATGTATGTATGTATGTATGTATGTAATGTATGTATGTAATGTATGTATGTATGTATGTATGTATGTATGTATGTATGTATGTATGTATGTATGTATGTATGTATGTATGTATGTATGTATGTTATGTATGTATGTATGTATGTATGTATGTATGTATGTATGTATGTATGTATGTATGTATGTATGTATGTATGTATGTATGTATGTATGTATGTATGTATGTATGTATGTATGTATGTATGTATGTATGTATGTATGTATGTATGTATGTATGTATGTATGTATGTATGTATGTATGTATGTATGTATGTATGTATGTATGTATGTATGTATGTATGTATGTATGTATGTATGTATGTATGTATGTATGTATGTATGTATGTATGTATGTATGTATGTATGTATGTATGTATGTATGTATGTATGTATGTATGTATGTATGTATGTATGTATGTATGTATGTATGTATGTATGTATGTATGTATGTATGTATGTATGTATGTATGTATGTATGTATGTATGTATGTATGTATGTATGTATGTATGTATGTATGTATGTATGTATGTATGTATGTATGTATGTATGTATGTATGTATGTATGTATGTATGTATGTATGTATGTATGTATGTATGTATGTATGTATGTATGTATGTATGTATGTATGTATGTATGTATGTATGTATGTATGTATGTATGTATGTAATGTAATGTAATGTATGTATGTATGTATGTATGTATGTATGTATGTATGTAATGTATGTATGTATGTATGTATGTATGTATGTATGTATGTATGTATGTAATGTATGTATGTATGTAATGTATGTATGTATGTAATGTATGTATGTATGTATGTATGTATGTATGTATGTGTATGTATGTATGTATGTATGTATGTATGTATGTATGTATGTATGTATGTATGTATGTATGTATGTATGTATGTATGTATGTATGTATGTATGTATGTATGTATGTATGTATGTATGTATGTATGTATGTATGTATGTATGTATGTATGTATGTATGTATGTATGTATGTATGTATGTATGTATGTATGTATGTATGTATGTATGTATGTATGTATGTATGTATGTATGTATGTATGTATGTATGTATGTATGTATGTATGTATGTATGTATGTATGTATGTATGTATGTATGTATGTATGTATGTATGTATGTATGTATGTATGTATGTATGTATGTATGTATGTATGTATGTATGTATGTATGTATGTATGTATGTATGTATGTATGTATGTATGTATGTATGTATGTATGTATGTATGTATGTATGTATGTATGTATGTATGTATGTATGTATGTATGTATGTATGTATGTATGTATGTATGTATGTATGTATGTATGTATGTATGTATGTATGTATGTATGTATGTATGTATGTATGTATGTATGTATGTATGTATGTATGTATGTATGTATGTATGTATGTATGTATGTATGTATGTATGTATGTATGTATGTATGTATGTATGTATGTATATGTATGTATGTATGTATGTATGTATGTATGTATGTATGTATGTATGTATGTATGTATGTATGTATGTATGTATGTATGTATGTATGTATGTATGTATGTATGTATGTATGTATGTATGTATGTATGTAATGTATGTATGTATGTATGTATGTATGTATGTATGTATGTATGTATGTATGTAATGTATGTATGTATGTATGTATGTAATGTATGTATGTAATGTATGTAATGTATGTAATGTATGTATGTATGTATGTATGTATGTATGTATGTATGTATGTATGTATGTATGTATGTATGTATGTATGTATGTATGTATGTATGTATGTATGTATGTATGTATGTAATGTATGTATGTATGTATGTATGTATGTATGTATGTATGTATGTATGTATGTATGTATGTATGTATGTATGTATGTATGTATGTAATGTATGTATGTATGTATGTATGTATGTATGTATGTATGTATGTATGTATGTATGTATGTATGTAATGTAATGTCTGTATGTATGTATGTATGTATGTATGTATGTATGTATGTATGTATGTATGTATGTATGTATGTATGTATGTATGTATGTATGTATGTATGTATGTATGTATGTATGTATGTATGTATGTATGTATGTATGTATGTATGTATGTATGTATGTATGTATGTATGTATGTATGTATGTATGTATGTATGTATGTATGTATGTATGTATGTATGTATGTATGTATGTATGTATGTATGTATGTATGTATGTATGTATGTATGTATGTATGTATGTATGTATGTATGTATGTATGTATGTATGTATGTATGTATGTATGTATGTATGTATGTATGTATGTATGTATGTATGTATGTATGTATGTATGTATGTATGTATGTATGTATGTATGTATGTATGTATGTATGTATGTATGTATGTATGTATGTATGTATGTATGTATGTATGTATGTATGTATGTATGTATGTATGTATGTATGTATGTATGTATGTATGTATGTATGTATGTATGTATGTATGTATGTATGTATGTATGTATGTATGTATGTATAATGTAATGTAATGTAATGTAATGTAATGTAATGTAATGTAATGTAATGTAATGTAATGTAATGTATGTATGTATGTATGTATGTATGTATGTATATGTATGTATGTATGTATGTATGTATGTATGTATGTATGTATGTATGTATGTATGTAATGTATGTATGTATGTATGTATGTATGTATGTATGTATGTATGTATGTATGTATGTATGTATGTATGTATGTATGTATGTATGTATGTATGTATGTATGTAATGTATGTATGTATGTATGTATGTATGTATGTATGTATGTATGTATGTATGTATGTATGTATGTATGTATGTATGTATGTATGTATGTATGTATGTATGTATGTATTCATGTATGTATGTATGTATGTATGTATGTATGTATGTATGTATGTATATATGTGTGTATGTGTGTAATGTATGTAATGTTTGCATGTATGTATGTATGTATGTATGTATTGTAATGTAATGCAATGTAATGTAATGTAATGTAATGTAATGTATGTAATGTATGTATGTATGTAATGTAATGTAATGTAATGTAACGTAACGTAACGTAACGTAACGTAACGTAATGTAATGTAATGTAATGTATGTAATGCATGCAATGTACGTAATGTATGTATGTTATGTTATGTTATGTTGTGTTGTGTAATGTAATGGAATGTAATGTAATGTAACGTAATGTAATTGTATGTATGTATGTATGGACCTTGAACAGAGGTATATCTCCGTCGTCATGGCATGAACCCGCAATTTCTCAATCTCAAGGATCTTTTCTTTTCCGGGTGTTTCTATGCAAGCTGGTATCGCCTTCATTGCTGGATCGATAACTGGGTATTTGTTCGCCAGACCTTTGAACCCCATTGACTTGGTTGCTTTTGAGACATCTGCCCTTAGAGACGAGATCGCCGCCACCAAAGGTTTATTGTCTGGATTGAGGGAGTCCCAGCGATCCCTTGAGTGGGTTTGTTGGGCACAGAGCAAACTTCTCAGCCTCATCTTCGACCTGTTTGTCCTGGCCTGGTTTGCGTGGAGCTGGTTGCACAAGCAATCGGTCAATACTCAGCCGGTGGTGCATCCCAGTGA